ATTGTTCTTACCCTGTTTTCCCTGTTAGCCGTTGACTGGAGAGACTTTTTTCCTGAGCGGCTGGGGGCTGTGACTTTTGCTGCTGCCACCCCCTCCGTAACTGTGCACCCTGCTGGCTCGAGGCAGGGTGGAACTCTTGTTGGCCATGGGAACTTTCTTAGACACCGGTGCATTCACTCCTGTAACTGACACAGGGGAAACTGATGAAACTGTGTTGTATTCAAAACCATGCATAGGCAGGGCCCAAAATTCATTTTTGGGAATAGGTTCTTGGGCACTGGTTCACCCAACCTAAAAATTTAGGTGCACAAAACATTTTCTGGGTTCACCATACAAGATAAAATAAGTAGAACATTCAGCAAAAACTAATTTTGTTTCATTTTCAAAGAAAACTACTATGGGTCCAAGAACTCCATGTTAGCATATAGTTTTGAATCACCACATATTGTGCTCATTGTTCTTGTCAATGTCTGTTTGCAATTGGCCCTCGGGCATAAGCTTGCAATAAAGAACTCTTCAATTAACCCTGTTTGTACCTCGTGTGGACTTGGATGGCTTGTCACGATCACACTGATCACTGGTATCGTCTGAACAAGAGGCAAGCACAGTCTCTGGCAAAATAGGAATTTAAATAAACATGCAGAAAATCAAAATCAAACAAATCAAAATCTTTAAATTTCTACAACTCAACTCAACACAACACAACTCAACATAAATCAAAATCATGGAAACGAAAAGTAACTTTGAATTGTAACTAAATATTGGCAGATAAATATATTTGATGCTAACATAAAATACATTTCATTTTGTATGTCACAGAAAATCAGAGCCTTAAGCATGAATGTTTATATGAGTTGGCAAAGTACATGAAGAAAACTAAATTTAAAAACTGTTCACGTGTCCACAGCACTTGGGTCATAGAGCTGATGAAAACTGAGCGATTCAGTCGAAAATTTATGGTGAGTTAATTTCGTTTTTGAGTTGGAGAACAGTTTAACTTTCTTCAAGAGCCTTAAGCTGTTTATCCTCCAGGCCACCACGATACAGCAACAACCACAAACACCACCTATACATTGTCTATAGGGCAGACAGTACTATTAGATCTTGCCATAGGAACACAATTTGCTTAAATACACTATTTCAACACCTCATGAAAGTACTTGCCCATATGTTAATAATCTCAAAATCTTCAATCTCAAAATTATTTCTGCACCAGGTAGCAACAAGGGTCTGATTCCCAAAAATAGAAAGGAAACAGGGGGTTGACCAGATCAAATTCCAGCCACAGCTGATGATAGTAACAAACCTCAACTTTGAGTTTGACCTACATTTTCCATGGTATCCATCCGCCTGGCCAGACAAGACCTAACCACTCACATCTCTCACTACGCCCACTAAACTGGTGAAATAAACAAAACTTGACCAATGTAGGAAAGTTTAGACCCTACCTGTGCCTTCCAGCCCAAAAATCTCCAAAATGGACCAAAACTTTAAAGAGAAAAAAAGGTTTTCAAAGGTATTAACTAGGCACTACAATCGTGTTCCCATTTTTTGGCCTCTACTGCGCAACGCAAATGTGGTGTCTGCCCTATAAGTATAAAGAAAAGGAGGTGTGGTTAGAGTTACCTAGTAGGTCTAGTCGGTCCCTGGCCATGCCCAGGTTGGTCAGCATCTTCTCTCTTAGCTTCCTCGCTCGATCATACTCCTCACCTGGATATACAAGATGATAGGCAGAGCTACGTGATGATCAAGAAAGTAATTTCTTATGTAACATTAACAGCTTTATGTAAGACCACTCTTTCAAGAAGCTGATAAAACAACATTGCTGACCTCTGACCTCTCGACCCAGCCTGATACATCGATTTCGATGCTCGGTTGTGTATATATATGTTACTTTTGGTTATTTTGTTTTACTGTTGTTGGTGTTTATGTCTATCTGTACAGGGCACACCTGTAAAGCAGTATATTGTACAGAGTGCGTCTACCCTGTATAAAGAAAACAGAAATAAATAAATAAGACCGAAAGGCTTTTCAATGACCTTTCAGTCTTTATCTGGTTGTAGATGTAAGTCATTACTAGATTGTCAATGTGCCCACAGACAATTTCATAATGGCATTTATGTTTATGTTACGGCCACATTGACATTCTGAATACTTGGTCCATGGTCATAACCGTCCTATCCGGTCAGTTTACACCTGCTTCTACACTGCAACTGTTTGAACGAGTCAGAAACTCTGAATACACTAACCAGCATTGGGCTGATTCCAACAAATACCTCTCCACCTGACATATACAAATATACTGTATATCCTCGTCTTACAATACTTTACTTTTTGACTGAACTGCTAAGCCAGATGTATGTCTCACCATGGCCTCTGCACTCCACAGCAATGCCCTTCTCCAACTCTGCTATACCCTTCTTGTATAGATCGATGGCCTGTTGTTTCTGTCCTGCAGATATAACATACAAACATTGAAAGTATATATATACAATATACATTAACATTAATAGTGTGGGGAACCATCTTGAAGATGTATGTTCCGACACACCTTGCTTGCTAGACATTCCTTTTTAACTACTAGTATTAGTTTTCAACCCTCTCATCACTCATTTTACTAAGTGATATAATCAAACTATAAATCAGTGATATAAATCAGGCTGATTTCTAGTGTCCAATTACTTATTGGCTTTCAAAGATTTCGCTGGAAAGTCCCCTGCAGTTCCAGAACAAGCTGTGTAGAGGGACCAAACCCACACCACTTATTCCTGATAGGAAAAGCTATCTGTCACCAAAAATTCAAGACCATAGAGCATGTTCAGGACAAAAGATACAAAAACCGGAAGTTCTGCTGCAGTACCAAGGTCATCCACCAGGAGGCCCATATTTGACCTTGACCTTTGTCTTCCTAAGACTTACCAACACACCAAATATCATCATAATCCATTAAGGCGTTATGAAGGTATGCTGACTACAAATGTGCGGAAACACAAACACAGACAGACAGACACACACACAAAGACAGACACGCCAAAAACAATACCTCCATTTTTCATGGAGGTAAATATTTGGGTGTACTGGTGCACCCACAGAAAAAAATATGGGTGCACAGCTCCAAATTTGGGTGCGCTAAGGTGCACATGCATCCAGTATTTCGAGCCCTGTATGTTCAACTATAATGTATTAGTAAGGCTTCAGCCCTCTATAGCTAATACAGTGGTCGAAATACTTTTTTTCTGTGCTCTGCAATATTGCAGAAGAGTCAACATTTTGTTCTGCAATTTGGACATACTTTCTGCAAATACACAAACCTCCATACTACAATCTTGCAGGTTTATAAGTATGAACTATTGATTGATATGCAAATTAGTGAAGACAAATTTTTGGAAGTCCAAAAAGAAACAAAAGATAGACAAGTCAAGACAAGGTTGATGCAAATTAATGAAGAAGCTCCTGTTGTTTCAGAACAGGAGCTTAAGTGTTGTCTGTCCTTGGGGCCAAGTCTAGAGCACCAAATCCCAAGTGCCAATTTTTCCTGCTGCAAAATTGCAGATTGAATAAATTTTTCTTCTGCAATCTTGAAAATCTATCTGCAGATTGCAGACTGCAGACAGGTATTTCGAACACTGTAATATCATCACTCAGTTTTACACACTACTAACAGTGATACAAATCAGTGTCTGTGATATGATTCATGAATCAGGCTGATTTCTAGTGTCCAATTGTCCAATTCTGATAACCTTTTCTATCTAGGGGTTGGATGATTTGAGGGACCATTGGCAAGTATTTTGGATGGATTGCCAAATTCTTTGCATGTTTGCATGGCTCAGGTGACCAGGAAATATGTACCAGCTCATTTGCATTACTTGATGACTAAATCCTAGCACTATACTACAGAATGGCAGGCATGAATCCTAGCCTGGCTCACACAGCATTGCCGTAGTGTCGTGTTAATTTGGCTCATCATCAGGGAAAGGCACCAGCTGGCTCCCATTCACTGGGAATGGATTATGATAACTTTATGGTCCCTCCTCATACATTACCTTCACTGTAAGTGGTCCTGATGAGCATCGGGTAATGCGATTATAATGGCTAGTACTAGCCTGTCCATCCTACACATATCTAAGACTATTATCACTATTCAGTGGTAGAAATGCCTTTTTTTACAGTGGTAGAAGTACCAATATTGCAGAATGTCAAAATTTTTTCAGCAATTTGGAAATACTTTTACTGTAAATACACTTGAAAGTCTATATCTAAACCCATGCATGACACATACAAAATTGCATGTTGGCAAATATTTTACATGCAATTTGAAAATACTAAGAGAAAACCCTAAATTTGAACATTTTGAAAGGGGTGCAAGGGAGAGGGGGAGCACCCTTGCTTCATTGCTTGGGGAGAGCCCCGAGTCTCTTGGTTTTGATATATTGAGTTTATTGACTTTGTTCACATTTCAGTAAAATACATGGCAGGTTCATTTGTGTACAAAGATGCTGAATTGCGCATTTTACATGATCAACATGATAACAAATCTATATCTATATTACATGATCAACATGATAACAAATTAAAAAAAAAAAGTAAACAATGACATTTTACATTATGATGATAACATTATAAGGAATTGAAAAGGTTCTTAATAAGCTGTAATAATTGATGTAATAATTGACACTTGGAGATGTTAACAGGTCTATTTGTTCCTGGGATTCTAACCCACACCGAATCCGGACTGCCAGCTCACAAACCCAACGCACAAACCGCAATGCTAAAAAAGGTCTGGACCAGTTAGACTGGCTAGTTCGTAGCGCTTGAACCCCACTGTTATGGTTACATTTCTGCAAATATTCAGCTAAGGCCACACCAATTTAATTTCTTGGTTAACGGATTTTTCTAGAAAAATAATGGAGCGGGCGGGCGAAAAAAAAAAAAAATAAAACAGGCCTAGGCATCCTATTATGGCCCAAAATGGTACGATAGGAGCCATGAAGTCAACACACCAGGCTGGTTCAAAATTTAAACAATGAATTTTGAACTTTTAATGATACCATTGCATTGAAAGATGGAATAACTGTTCAGGGCAAAATATGAGCATTTTGCAGTTGATTCTAAATTTTTATTTTTATTTGCAAATCAGAAAAAAATGAAGCGGCGAATCCGTTAACCAAGATATTAAATTGGTGTGGCCTAACTGCTGCTTTTTTTTTTTTAACCGAATTTAAAGTCATTTTTCCCCAACCGGGGGTTAGACGTGCTTGCACCAGGTACAAGTCTTTTTTGAAGCAGGATTTTTACGGCTTGATATAAAATATTAATAAGATGCAAAAGCCATGATGCAGCTTAGCAGGACAATAATGCCTGAGGCTTCATGACGCATGTAGCTGAATAGGAAACTGCCGTAATCTCATTTCTGGATTCCACTGAACCCAATTTTCATGCATTACAACAGATACAATTATAGTGATGTCATTCTCTGAGCTTCGGTCAAGCATGGATGTAATACTAATACAGTGATAACATAGATTTGCATGCTTAGTTTTGTCTCCCCCTTGTTTTATATCAACAATACATACATGTAGGTAAGGCCAAGGAAAAAAAATGTTGTGTTTCCTGTTTCAGTCCGGAAAAAATTAGGGTCGGTAGGTAGGGATTATCTTATTTTATTTTTATTTGTTATTTTTTTTTTAGACTTTGCTGATTGCTGTGTTTATATAAGCAGAACATGATGAAAAATTGATTGTGCAATATTATATTTCATCACTCAGGTACTCAGGTGTCAGATCATGGAGCTTTAAACGGTCGATCAGCTCGAAGAACTTAACAGATGTCCCTAGCCCTTGCAGGGCTAGATTCAGATTCAGGTCCTGATTCAAGTCTACAGGTTTTCAGGGTTCTCCCAGGGATTTGGGAGAAAAAAAGGAACAAAAAAGAATTCTAAAGAAAAAAATAATAATCTGCACAAAATTTTAATTGGTTTCTATCCCTTTGTTTGCCTAAAAATCGATAGTGTGATTGTATCAATTTGAAACCCCCAAAAAATTAGCTAAATCGGCGATTTAAGGTTATTGCGCAATGGACGTGCCCTATGACCTTCAACCTTTGGGGGTCATGCAGGCGTCAACAGCGCCCTCCCCCAGTCGAACCGCAGGTCACCGTAGAACGCGTTATTCTCTAAGATACGGCGTTTGCCGGGTCACGATTTGACCCCGTTGCATGGGTGTAAACAACTGCCTATAGTGCAGCAAAAAGATCTCAGACCTACACAATGTTTACATTTTTTCATATCTACAGGATTTGCCCAGTACAACCATGTAGATATTTCGTGCATTGCAAAATGACAGCGAGCGCTACGGCCTTCCTAAAATTAGCAATTTTTGGTCATTTTATTTGTGCTTGTCTTTTTTACTATTTAACTGGATCCCGTTAGCTAATACCACATTGTGATAGCCCACTTCTTTACCTTTACATTGATACCAATGACCCCTGGTAAATTTTATGGCAAACGGGTTTGCCCCCAAAAAAACTGTGACGATGCGCATATTGCGGTGGTCAAATTTTAGCCCAGTTGTAAGCTACCGACACACACCATCCTGAGTTTCCGCTACATTTTGATACATTTCGCGTAATGTCATAAAATTCGTTTCTTGGTATGAGAAACTGTTTGAATGTGGCTACCGCATGCAATATAAACGTGATATGATAACATTCAATTATATACAAAAAGAGGAATTTAATACAAGGTTCTGACCATTCAAAAAATCGTCAAATTTGAAGTCAATCGGTTTCGAACTCCTGCGTTCGATCCATGGAACCAAGGCAGCGCGTTCCATTTTTCGCGCCGCCAACAATGTTGCAACTTTCAACCGCTGTTTGCGAAAGTTCATAAAAAAAAGGAATCAAGTTTTTTCATCACAAACAGACTTTCTGAAACCCATTCCAAGTCAGACTTATATCATGAAGACGCTAGAGAAAGTGGGATTCTTGTGCAACTATACAAATGTCAGTACATATGCCCAATGTTTGTATATTTACAGTAACAGGTCATAGTGTCCAATTTATCCTTCAAAAATTAGGTCAGGAAAAATCAACCTGTTGTTGTATTTGTTCATGCCCAAATTCCTTCTTTTCTGTTTTCACCCGTAAAGTGGGTATCGTTTTGAAGCTTACTATTTGGCCGATATTCTTTCACTTTCATTTTTGTTCTATATAACTTTTAACAGAACATTTTTGAAGGCAAAAAAACTGTAAAGAAATTACACTTTTCTCAAGGTCGAGCTGCAATACACATTGTGCAATTTCAAAACTAAGTACACAGGTGTCAAGCCAACATAATTATATTTCAGCCACATCTTACATTACAGGTGTATTGGTTAGAACTAGTTGCAAAAGCTTGAGATTCGAACAAAAATCGTTGAGAATTCGACTGAATGAGCTCAACTTACTATCGGTTACTATATTTTAACAACTACAGGATCCCAAAAGAAACAACACACGATAGATGAGGGAGGGTCTATACTTTATTAAACAATACACCAAATCGGCGATGAAATAGGGCAAACGGGTTTGCCCCCAAAAAAACTAAAGGGTACCTGTCTCGAGTGGAATCATCTCCATCATACACGGTCAACTTTGAAACCTCGTTTCTCCAACAAACACCACCGGTAATGTTCATCTACGACCTTGAGCGTGACGCCGGCCCTTCTTACATCTCACATTAACGTATGACAAGGAAACACTTACGCAAAGCGGAGTTACAAGCGAAACAGTAAACAGTAGCAAACTCTCGCGGATTCTCGCGGATCACATTACCTTGGAAAAGAAGCGCGAGATTTAAACGAGATCTTAGAGAGAGCTGCGCAGAACCGATGCGCATAGCGGTCTGCGGTTCGACTGCCCCCATGCCTTGCCAGTCCGTTTTCGTGGGCAAATTTCTGCTTTTTTAGAGGTTTTGCGACCTAAAAACTCACATCAGAGGAAAAATACACCACAGACGACATTTTCATGGTAAATATCGATAAATTGACAAGGCATTTTTTGTCCCGTTGCCGATTTTGCTGATTTTCGCCATGTGCACGTGCTTATAATTTGTTTACGTCGATAGCTACCTTTCCTCGTCCGGTTTTATGGGCAAATTTCCGCTTTTTTAGACGTTTTGGGACTAAAAGACCGACAAAGGGGGAAAAATAAATCATATACATTATTTTTATGAGAAATACTGCTATCATGGACCAGACTTTTTTCTTTCGCGTTGCCGAATTTTTGCGGCCGTCGCATGCTGATGGTGCAGTACGGTAGGGAATTTTCTACGATTAGTTCGTAAATGTATCGGCTTTTAAACTTATTTTCGGAGTCGACGTCGATGGCTTTGTTTTACAAACAAATCAGACAAATTATTAGCGTTGTTTACACGACTTCAAAACGCTAGCGGGGCGCCCGATGTTCCACCACTGACAGCGATTCTCTCGGTAGCGTCGTGCAAAATGTTTTGGTTCAGCAATATGCAGGGGTCCACACAAAAATAAGGCTAGGGTCGGCGGTTTTTTTTAGGGTCGGTCGGGAAACAGGAAACACAACATTTATTTTCCTAGGCCTAATGATATTTTACCCATCATAGACTCATTTCTAAATCCAAGGGTATATTACTGCATTTATCCCATGTGGTAAATGCAATTCTAGTATTATTACTATTATTAATGAATATCATAGATATAGAATATAAAACTAGTATATAGAGTTGTAAACATTTTTTCTTGTGAAGTTGTGTGTATGTCAAGAGCCAAATTTCAATATTGACACATATTTTGGAGGCAAATTTCTCGTGATGAAATCATAACTGCTTTTTATCATGATAACAGCGACACAACAGCCCATGATTTGAGTGGCCTGATTATTCTGCACATGATATTATACATGTATACATGTTATCAAATTAGCCTATAGAATGGATGTTAGGAAGGCCAAGATCCAATTCCAAATAATCTTTTTTTAAGTAAGCTTATTGGGAAAATGTGATGTACACATGTACATGTATTGTCACTGTCAGATGTCTCTCTTTCTGTAACCTATATAGGACAAGTTTATATCTAAGTAACATATTACCTGTTTAACAGACTGCATTCTTACTATTGAATGATTATACTATTGAATGAATGTTAATATTGTATTCAACAACGTAACTTACATAATTATCACAACAGACAATTATTGTGTCACATACTTTAAAGTAATTTGGTCTTTTTAATAAGATTACTTAAGAGTGACTTGACGATGATTCACCATGTAAGTCGGGTATTACTACTAGTTGCGGCCATGCACCAAACGCACAAATTTATGTTCTGTTCTGTTTTGTTCTAATGCACTTTTTTTTACCGCACCCCACTGGACGCAATAGCTGTACATGTGTGCACCCTGGGCGGGATGCCCTAGACAGGGTTTTGGCCAGTATTGTATAGAA